ATTTTTTTTTAAATTAACAGTTGAGGGCGGAAATTTAAAATCTTAGGGGAGGTACCAAAAATTTCGAGCGTGCTACTGGAAATTTGAAAATCAATGAGTTTTTCACCGGAAATTTCCAAATTTCTGGTATTTTTCATCGAAAATTTCCAAAATTTTGGTATTTTGTACCGGAAATTTCAAAATTTCTAGTAGTTTTAGTGAAATATGTACCCGAAATTTCAAAATTTCCGGTATATCCTTTGAAAAGTATATTGTAAATTTCAAAATTTTCCAATACAAATATCATTCTTTATACCAGAAATTTCAAATTTTCTGGCAGTAATAAAAAAACTTGTTTTGTATAGAAAATTTTGAAATTTCCGGTATAAAAAATGTAATTTGTACCGAAATTTTTGAAATTTATGATATGTGTAGAAATTTTGTTTAGTACCGAAAATTTTAAAATTTTCGGTAGTTGTCAATTTTTTTATTTTGATATTTTTTTTTCTTTTATAGTGAAATCAGAGGCAGAGACTACACTATTACAAGAAGAGTTGTTGATCGAGCGACAGATTAGAGTAGGGCTGTCAGAGGTGCTGATGTCGAGTCTTCCCAGAAACGGGCAGGACAATGGTCCCAACCGGTTCACACCAAAAGCGGTTGGCTGAGCGGGGTCAGCTTCAGGCACCTCGTTCTATTCAACATCGACCGGGTTGATCAGTAGAGCAGCCTATAAATGAGGTGGTGCTAGATGTTGTTGTATATGATCCTGTTAAGCATCCGATGGTTGATCTTGTGGTAGATCTGGTTGTTGATCCAGTTGCTGAGGATGTTGTTGAGGAAGAGGTTGTTGTTGTTGGTGAGTCGGTCTCATCAGTTACTGCTAACACGGAGGTTACAGCTCCTTCGAATGAGGCCTTTGTACACACAGATGGAGGATTCCCAAGGGGTCCCACCGACCGGTCGGTGCTTACAGGGTATGTTGAGCATGTGGCCTTACGACTATGGCAGGGTAAAGTATATGTCTTTTATGTTTAACTATAATTTTTTATATATGTCAGTCTCATAATCTATCAACTAATTTGTTTATATTTTGTTGTCACAGGAGCGACCCTCACTAAAGGTGATATTTCACGGGTCAAAGATGAAGGATTTCCCAAATATTTGGATGCCTGAGCAGATCATTTGGATTATACGGGACTTCTAGGTGCTTGATTTTGCCCACTGCTCCCTCACCATGCTGGACGCTCCATTACTTAGTGCATTTGTTGAGAGGTGGGACAAGGAGACATCATCATTTCATCTTTTGTTAGGTGAGATGACAATCACTTTGGATGATGTCTCCGCATTGTTCCATCTACCCATAGGCAACAGATTCTGGACAAGTCCCGTTCTTAGCATGACCCTTGCATGCTAAGTTGTGGCACATGATTTGAATTTGTTTGAGGCGGATGTGATGAAGGAGTTTGGTGAGACCAGGGGTGCGCACCATCGTATATCTTGGCTTCGGAAGAAATATGATTAGCTTGTAGCTGCTGGGAGGTATGAGGTTGTCGCGAGGGCGTACATGTTATATATAGTATCATGTACTCTTTTTGCAAACAGGTTTGGTGTTTATATCGATGCCCGATACGTGTGCCTCTTCTTTAGCCTCGAGGACACTAGTTGGGCTTAGGGTGTGTTGCATTAACCTAATTGTATACAGCCATTGGAGTGGCGACAATCTTTAAGATCAATCAGCTTGCTGGCTATTTGAGTCTGTTACAGGTATACTTGAAATTATTATTTGTTGTTGATTTCTTATTTAATTTTTACGAACATCATTTCTTATTTTTATTTGTTATATCTTTGTTTTGATATCAGTGTTGGGTATACAAGCATTTCCCACCATTTGTGATAGGAGGGTGCATCATTGCAATGTGGGGGGCCCACGAGCGAAGAAATGGAAGGCCAGACAGGCATATCCATGTGGTGTAGCTGAGTACAGGAAGAGGCTCGATGCACTGACTATAGATGATGTCATCTGGACACCATACACTTGTCATAAAGTCCATCGTGAGTTCGAGGAGTCCTCTTTATATTCAGGTTATATGCGGTGGGAGACCATGGTTGCTAGACACTTGCTTGAGAGGTGTCTGCGACAATATGGTTATGTTAAGAGTGTCCCATGTCAGTTTCAGATATACCATCTTCAAGTATTGGTTGGTGATTTCAGAGTAACTTCATCAGCTTTAGTCGTGCCAATAGAGATCGAGCAGTGTCGGTCCAACACCCCTCGCAGTGTGAGAATGGTTACTTAGAGTAGTACCTCACTGTATCACACTCTCGCATCACTCCACTTGTAGCTCATGTTGGGCCTTCAGGTGGTAGGGTACCTGTTGATGACGTGTCACCGCCTCCTTCTCCAGTAGATTACGCCGATGACCAACAACGCCTCCAGATGATTGCAGTTATTATGGATAACCTCATGGGTTTGATAAACCCAGATAGCGAGGTTTATACTAGATTAGCTCGGGCTGCACACATAACCCGTGGGGGCCTATTTAGATATATTTTGTATTATTTGTATATTATTCAAACATCATCATCATAACACTTTATTAGATAATATTATTGATCTTCCTTATATTACTCAGACATCTGACAATGGATTACATAAGAGAACAGAAAAAAAACTTAAAACTAAAATATGATTACAAAAACCTAAACCCTATCAAACACTTATGGACGTTTTATCATCTCAATTATGTCGTCAATGGATCTTGAAAGTTTAACATCTAACTCAATCGACCCCTTTATTATCCTATTGCGAAATGATCTCCAACATTTCCTTCACATCTTTGTCGGTCTTCAACTCAATAAGATTGTATTTCACCATGTCGTTAGTATCAATCCAATCTTCACGAAACTTGATCTTTCTCACCTTTCTATTTTCAACATCAGACAACAATTCATACAACTAGGACGTCAGACCAGCAAAAGATGTGGTGCCATCTGAAAGCTAGAACTCTATCGGAGGAGAAACTATCTTGAAATACACTTTTGCCTTAATAAAAAATTGTGGAAGAAACAATTTTTGTGATGTGTTTATCAAACAATATGTGACCCTCTTATTATACAATTTTGTATTTATTTTGAACCACATAAATTATTGGTACAATTACAATCATCCAAAACGGTCGGTAAAATCTTAATCATCTAAAAAATAAAATTAAGAAATAACATTACCGAAAATTTCACTTGAGTTAAAAATTGATTTTTTTTTTATTTTTAATTTGGGACAATTTTAAAAATATTGAAGTTTTGGAGTGCCAGGTCAATTAATGGGTGACAGGTTCAATTCTTTTGATCATGATATTCTTTTTTTAACCATGCTAAAAGAATCTTTTCATAGTAATGGTGAGATCTGATACTTTATGGTGGTAAAAAGTGTGTTGGTGACCGGAATTACGTACTCTCAACCTGTTGCGCGATGCTTGTGGTTAGGTTTTTAGGTATCTTGCAAGCAATTCTGAACAATTTCCTTTTTATTTTTCTTATATCTTGCCTTTGCGTAAGCAAATGAAACAAAAGGCGTGACTAGGGATGGCAACGGGGCGGGTCGGGGGCGGGTTTTACTATACCCGCACCCGCACCCGCTTTCATGTAACACACCCGCCCCCGCCCCCAAACCCGACCGGGGGTAAAAATTTACCACCCAGACCCGCCCCCAGTAGAGAACGGGTGCACCCGCACCCGCCCCGCCCCCACCCGGAAAAAAAAAATATTTTTAATTACAATAAAAATTAATAACTTAATTAAAAAATTGATTATTTTAATAAATTAATTATTTATTTAATTAAAATTTTAATTAGTAAATGAATATTAATTTGATTAATTTATTTATTTTAATTGCAATAAATGTATTAATAATTTAATTAAAAATATAATTAATAAATAAATATTAAAATAAGTAAAATAAGATAATTAAATTAAAATAAATTATTCGGGGGCGGGGCGGGGCCGGGTGCGAGCGGGTCTTAGTGTCTACCCGCACCCGTACCCGCACCCGTAATTAAAAATCGAATTTTCCCCGCACCCGCACCCGTACCCACTCAAACTGGGTTTTCCCCGCTAATTTCGGGGCGGGTCCGGGCGGGCCCCGACGGGTCTGGGTTTTTTTGCCATGCCTAGGCGTGACGTTTCTATTAAAATTATTGGAATTTTACGTTCCCAAATATTATAATTTTACGCAAATTAGTTTTTATTTAAGCATAAGATTTTTATTCTTTTAACATTTTTAACATCAATTTTTTTTCATAAATATTTTGTTGGTAAACTAATTTTTTTTTTGTTGGTAAACTAATTAATTATGTAAATAAGTGATTTTAGATCATTAAAGAACTGTGTCAAAATGAAAATGTTCATTTTATTTTTATTTTAGTCAAATAAAAAAGAAAGCATCAATTTAATCTATTAACTACACATAAAATTAAATTAATAAATTATATAAAATTTATTAATTTAATCAATGTTGGAAGAATTTTATTTATATAGTTGAATGACTAAATTAAAAAAAAAGTAAATAAATTAATAATTTATTCTTTAAATAAAAATATATTATATCACTCTATTATCTCCACCCCTGTTCCTCGGGTTTACTTCTCCGAAACAAACAAAGTATGGCCATCTGCAAACCATGGTTTTATTAACTTATTATTAACACAGTCACAGTCACACAGTCACGTGACTTTACACATTATAGGAGAGTTTTTATAATTTAAGGATTTTATATCATTTTTTTATTAATTTTTTTATATAGATAAACCAAAGCAAAGCGTGTAGTGATTTATAAAGTGGGACCGTAGAAGTTTTGATGATATATATATAGTAGCATAGCATGTGAAGGTGAGCACGGGCAATGGAATGGCATCCAGCTCTATCACCTCTCCAGTCCCATTAAACTCCATCCAACCTACAATACTTTTGTTTTATAGCACATCTAGTTACTAGTACCTTTCACACTTCAACACTCTCCAAAAATGTTGCAACTTATTTCACTTTTTTTCCTTCTCCTACCATTAGGGGTTTCTTCTCTCTATGGTTGTTAACTTTTCTTCCTATTTTAAGCTGCACATTGATATTTCATTCATTAATTATTACTATTTGTTTTTGCAGATGGACCCCTATATGACTCAACTGCTTACACTCAGGTAACTAAAATCTCACACTCACCCTTTATTTCTTTTCTACCTACTACCTTTTTCTGTTTCTATCACAATGTCAATGTGTTTCTTTGGTTGATACTACCTTTTTTCTGTTTCTATCACAATATCAATGTGTTTGTTTGGTTGACAGTGCATTGGGTATCCTGAGAAGCCACTTTATGGAGGAGGACTTTTCAAAGACAATAATATTGCACAAATTAACACCAACATAGTTGCCATATATAATCTTACACAACACACTATCTATTCTTTTTCTGGTACGCTTTTATCTTCTCTTCTTTATCTTTCCATTGCAGCACTATTTAGTTAATAAATCTAAAATATATAAAAATAATTCCGTTGCCGGGACTTGAACCCGGGTCTCTCGGGTGAGAGCCGAGTATCCTAACCAACTAGACTACAACGGACTGATGAAAGTTTTGAGACTAAATGTTATGTATTGTATTTTTTATGGTGACGTGACAGCATGGGTGAAGGTTGAAGGTTCATATTCAGTTATGATAAGGGCAAGGTTGGAAGCAGAAAATGATACATACAACTGTATTGGGACAGTTTCTGCCAAGCGAGGATGTTGGTCTTTTCTTAAGGGTGGATTTGCTCTTAATTCACCTTCAAATTCATCTGCCATAATCTTTGAGGTCCCTTGCTTAATTTTTCTGTATTTTATTTTATTCACTAGTAAAATAAAGTTTTCACACATTTGTAAATTATTTTAAGATATTTGGTTTTGGTAATGCAGAATGCAGATGGCAAAGACGTTGATATGGATATAGCAAGTCTATCACTACAACCATTTACTAAACAAGAATGGAGATTCAACCAAGAATATATAATCAACACTGTGAGTGAGTCCATGCTAAAATAATGAAATTAATTGCATTTATAGTTGGACCACCAAAATTTCATATTACATGAATGTCTGGTGTCTATATGTCACTATGTTATTTGATGTCACTATAATGTCTGATGTCTGATATGTAATGTCTCGTGTTAGCGTAATGTCTGATGTCAGATATGTGTTTGTTTATTTGGACATCAACACTGACGTATGTAGTTACATTATTAGGAGTATTATTATTAGTGTTGTGTTGGTGTTTTGTGTTTGCGCATTTAATTGTAGTCTTGTTTTCTGTGCTGCATTTAACAGAAAAGAAAGCGTGCGGTCACGATTCATGTATCAGATACTAATGGAATGAAATTGCAAGGAGCTTCTGTGCGTGTAGAGCAAATATCAAAAGACTTTCCTATAGGTTCTGCAATAGCAAAGACTATTCTTGGCAATACACCGTATCAGAATTGGTTTGTAAAACGTTTCAACGCCGCAGTCTTTGAAAACGAACTCAAATGGTACGCCACAGAGCCTCATCAAGGCAGAACCGATTATACAATTTCAGATCAAATGATGCAATTTGTTAGATCCAACAAAATTGTAGCTAGAGGACACAATATATTCTGGGAAGATCCTAAATACAATCCTGCATGGGTTCTTAACCTTACAGGTACAGAACTAGAATCAGCAGTGAATTCTAGAATAAAAAGTCTCATGAACAAATACAAAACCGAGTTCGTACACTGGGATGTTAGCAACGAAATGCTTCATTTCGATTTCTACGAACAAAGGCTTGGACCAAACGCTACATTTCAGTTCTTTGAGGCAGCACATGAATCAGATCCTCTAGCAACATTGTTTATGAATGACTTCAATGTTGTAGAAACATGCAATGATGTAAAGTCCAGTGTTGACGCGTATATCTTTAAGATAAGAGAACTAAGGCAACATGGTGTTTTTATGGATGGTATTGGATTGGAGGGTCATTTCACAATACCGAATCCACCGCTTATTAGAGCTATTTTAGACAAATTTGCAACGCTAGATCTTCCCATTTGGCTTACTGAGATTGATATAAGCAAGACCCTTGATCAAGAAACTCAGGCAATATATTTGGAACAAGTGTTGAGGGAAGGATTCTCGCACCCTTCGGTGAACGGGATAATGCTATGGACAGCACTTCATCCATATGGATGCTACCAAATGTGTCTTACAGACAATGATTTGAAGAACTTACCATCAGGTGACATGGTGGACAAGCTTCTTCAAGAGTGGCAAACTGGTCGTGTAGAGGGAGTCACCGAAGAGCATGGTTCACATAGCTTTTATGGATTCTTAGGAGAATATAGAGTTAGTGTTGAGTATGGAAACAGGACCATAGATTCAACTTTCTCTTTAAGTAGTGGTGATGAAACTAGACATGTCACTGTCACATTGTGACTTGAGTTTTATTTATGAAGCTCCTTAACTTCACTAGAAATTTTGAAAGTTTTGAATTTGAATAATATAACTCTCATAGATGGTTAGATATGTCTCATAATGTCAAATATGAAAAATATCATTTCAAAATATGCTTAACTCATGATATTGGCTCATCAACTGTCTCTTGTCTCTGTCTCTAGTGGCCTCTAAGCATCTCTATCCTTTGTAGGGGTGACATGCACACCTATAATTTTTTTACTAAGAGCATCTCCAATGGTGCAACCCATTTTTAGGTTCTTTGTGGGACCCACTCTTTTAAAGCAACTCATTCAATTTTCACTCCAATGGTGCAACTCTAAAGAATCCATATTGGGTCCCACCACTTTACTTAAAAAACATTATTTATATTAAATTTATTTTATTTAAAATTATAATTTAAATATTTAAATTTTAATTAAAATGATAATTAAAATAATAAATAAAATTTTATATCAAATTATAGTTTTTATATTATAAAATTAATATTTTAATATAAGAACCATTGAAGAACCGTTGCATATTTAAGAACTTTTCCATCTTGAAAACAACAAATATGAGTGCCATGTTGGCAAACCCACTCTAAGAACTCCCATTGGAGTTGGTCTAAGACTCATTGTCAGGGCCGGCCCTAGGGGTAAGCCACCAAGGCTACCGTCTAGGGCCTCCTTTTAAAAAAAATATTTATGTAATTTTAATCAGTTGATTTGTAAAAAAAATATTTTTAAAAATATTTTTGATATAAATTATATAATTGCATCTATTAAGAATTTATGATAATAACAACCATTTAAAATATACGTTTATAATTGATTAATTTAAAAATTAAGATCTTCTTAAATTTTTAAAGTAATCAAGGTTTTATCGTGAACAATAAATAAGGGATCTATTTTGTTAATGTTTAAACATAATCAATACCTTTTAGCCTCTTTTTAGCTACATCTTAACTGTGAAATTTTTTGAGTTCTATCCGATAACCTGTCTTGTACACCATTAAAGATAGTCATATTAAAAATCATATTTATAAATAATAAACTTTTAAATTCTTTTATATAAAAGAATACTTGAAATTTAAGTTATTTTAAGAACTTTGGTAATATTTTTCCAATTATGATTTTTTTAAATAATTAGCAGAGTATTTAGATGTGTTAAATTTATTATCAATTGAAAATAAAATATTAAATATAATTGATTAAATTTTAAAAAACTTAAAATAAAAATTCATTAATCTAAAATAAAAATATTTTTATTATATTAAAATAATTAATTTAAAATTTTGCCTTAGGCCTCAAGATGTGTTAGGCCATGTTTGATGTGCACAATGTTTGATGTGCACAATGACCCCTATGAGCATGTTGCTGAAGGTGAGAAAATACTTAGAAGGGGGGTTGAATAAGTATATAGAAAAACTTATAGCAATAAAAACTCAAGGATTTTTATCCTGGTTCGTTGAACTCAACTACTCCAGTCCACCCTATCAAGAGTGATTTGCCTTTCTCAACAAGGACTTAATCCACTATTAAATCAACTGATTACAATAGCAAGCACTAAGAACAATTGTTCTAAGTCTTCTCAAGAACTACTGATCCTAACTGGATCTTCTTAAGGTTCTTTTACAATCAAATGTAAGAATAATACAAGTGTTTAAATTGCTTCTAATAAAACTTTATCACAACTGTGATTTTACACTTAAGATTTAAGAACTATGAAATAAATTCAGCTAATGAGAATAAATTGTATGAGAGCTTTCTTTGAATTCTTTCAATGTTTCGTAAACTGAAGAAGATGAATGGAGTCTTGCTTTTATAGGCAAAAAGGTCCAAGTAGCTATCACGTTGAAGGCTGTGTACTAAAAGGTCTGAGCCTTTTTGTCTTCACATCACATGACCTTTCCTAGAAATAGAATGCACAGAAAAATCCTTTTTGTCTGTGTTCTTGTGTCTAGCATAAATGAGGAAAGAGTCGTTTGGTCATTCCAACGGACATAAGTTTGAATTCTTCTTCAACAAGTTTCAGCAAATATCATCAGAGTCTAGATTGGTCAGAGTCTTCTGATGTTCATCAGAGTTTGCTGAATCAGAGTCCTTGCAGCATGTGTGCTTTCAGCGTGTAATTGTTCAGAGCAGAGTTTGGAATCAGATCTTCAGTACTGAAGTGATTCACCTAGATGTTGCTGAAACACATCTTAATATATGATGATCAATATTGCCATTTTGTTTTGAATATGCTGTCAAGTTTTATAGTTCTGTTGGACTTGGTAAAATCATTGGGATGATTCATGTGACTGTTGAGGCCTGTTTTGATGACCAATACCTGTTTTGCTGTCAAATGGTTGTAACCATCATGAGATACATACATTGAAGTTTGATGCTTGCCATTGTCATGCTAAGTGTACATCTGGATATTTTGAACTACTGTTGTGTGTTTGGTTTATGCTTGTTGACATGAGAATGTAGTATCTTTTGAATCATGTTTAATTGGCATTATCATGTTCATTTTGCATCAGTTGCTGTCAACATTAGACTTGTATGCTAGGGTTTGCAATCTTTGTGAAGTAATGACTGTCTTCTTTAAGGCATTGTAGTAGGGCTGCTTTTAACCATGACATGTCCATATTTTGTTTGTATTGTTAACTATGATAAGCATATATGTATGTTTTGATGTTTTGTAAATCATTTTTGAATCTGTCATGAAATTGCTTGTTAGCATCATAAATCCATAAGTTGAATGTTTATGTTAACATGTCATGCTTATTTTGTTACAAGCTCAACTGCCATTTAGAGATGGCACTATTGTTATAGGATACCATTGTCATAAGCTTGTGAGTTGTTATGTGCATAAAGTATTAGGACTAATTGTTGGATGATGTTAACATGGTCATGTTAGGATTCACCATATTGCTGTTAGAACTGTCTGATTCATGAACCACTACTATGTAATGCTGCTACCACACTTTGCTTCCAACCATTGCCAATTTTTTGCTCTTTTGCTGTTTGTAAACAAGACTTTGTTGCTTAATGTTGGTTGAGTCATTTTGCATCTGTTGTTGTTAAGAACTAGGGTTTCTTGCTAGATTTTGTTTATGTTTATTATCATAGCGTTGTAACTCTCATTTTAAGGCATGTGTTGAATTGATGTATTGATCGGCATGGTAATGACCAAAGATTGGTTGCTGCTTCTGTATAGTTGTCATGTTATTTGATCTGTTGCAAAACCATTAATCATGTTTAGCTTGTTAGGCTGTTTTGGTTAAGACCAAGTTGTCTTGGTGTGAAAACTATATGTGTGTGTGTAGGATCCATTATGCATGCTTATTGATATTTTGGTTTGACAAGAACAAGCTTGATGTCAGCTTCTGTTTTGAGGTTTTCACCTTTTGTGCTGTCATTTTGTTGAGTTTTCTTGCAATTTGTGTATGAATTCATGTCTTGATGTGTGTGAATCATTGAATGTCTGTTGGTGTGTTGAGGCATGTATGTTGCATTATGAGATGTTCCTCTTTTCTAAAAAAACCATTTCAAACTTTTTGATCCACAACTGCAGTCCACATGCCAGTTTCTGTTTTGGTTGGTTTTTGAATGTTCTTTGAATCTGAAATCCATGAACTATGTGTTTGAAGTTTGTGTGTGGTGATCACATGGAATGAAACAGTTTAGTTTAAATCATGACTTCCAAAATGCATATCCAAGCCTCTATCTGCATTTTCAGTCATGTTTCAATTTGTGCATATTGTTTTGAAAAATTAATGATACCATCATAATCCTCTTCAAATTTCAAGTGGTTTAGACTCAAATTTTGTGAAATTTGGTTGTGTTTTGATCAAGTTTGAATGAAACCATTTTCATGTTACTTGCCTTTTTTTTGTTTGTCTTGCCTGGCCCAAATTGCTTGCTTTGTTAAGTTTAAGTATTTATTAGGGTGGCATAATACACAGATGTATCACCACCCCAGTGGTTATGCCTTGTGTTTCAATTGCCTTGCCTTGCCTCCTGACCTGAGTTCGATACGTGTGGAGATCAACTCTTTTTTTTTCAAACATTTTTCATGTTTTCACTTATTTCTCTCTTTTTCCTTTGACTAATCACGCGCGCGCCTTTGGCTGGTTTGACAAGGTTTTGTACTTGTGATCCAAAGGTGGTGAGTTCAACACCCACCAAGTGCATCTCCTTATTTTTAATGACTAAAATCTTTATTTTTTAAGAAAATTTCAAAGTAGCACAGCTTTATCATTTTTTATCATTTTTGAATGGTTCTTTTTGCTAATGTCTTGTACTTTTGCATATTTGCATATGGTATGTATAGAATTATAGAATTTTCATTTTAGAAACACTTTAAATTAAAAGAAAGTCATGTTTCATTTTTAGGGTTTATACCCTACTATGTTTCAATCTTCATTTCAAAACTTTGGATATCATTTTCATTAAGTTTATTTTTGAAGTTTGGTTTGAAACTTGCCTTGTTAGCTCCTTTGTGTATGTGATTTTAATTTCAACCCTTGCTTGTAAGCATTTGTGATTGATTCATTTTTAAAACTTGAAAGTTTTCCCCATTGAAGTTTTTGAACTTTTGTATACCATTGTTGTGACATTATTTGTTTAGGCATGATGCCTGTAAGTATACATGTCATCTTGTAAGTCCTAACGAAACCTCATCTTTGTTAAGATGCACGTTTGTTAAGATCCCCTTCCATCTTTATTAAGATGTACCCCAGTCTTTGTTAAGATATGCTTTGGTTTTCACCTTTCACTAAGTCTTGTAAGAACTTACCCCCTTTTTGATATTGTAATATCTTGATGTTTGCTTTGGTCGTAACCATTTATCTTGATTGAAATCATGGCATTGATATTGTAATATGCTTGGTTGCTCTTGGTTGTAACCATATCCCTTATATTCATCATGTGTGAATGCTTATGCTTTGTTAAGTTTACTTACCCCCAAGTGATGAAACTCTTTAGTTCTCATCCAAGTTGCCTCATCTTTCCCCTTCCAAAGGAAAGTCTATCTATTGACCTTTGGGTCATAGATAGGATTTAAACTCATAGGTCTAGATAGAACTTTCTCCCCCTTTTGGTCTGGATAGAACCAATAGGATTTAACCTCATAGGTCTGGATAGAACTTTCTTCCCCTTTTGGTCTGGATAGAACCAATAGGATTTAAACTCATAGGTCTGGATAAAACCTTCTTCCCCTTTTGGTCTGGATAGAACCAATAGGATTTAAACTCATAGGTCTGGATAGAACCTTCTTCCCCTTTTGGTCTGGATAGAACCAATAGGATTTAAACTCATAGGTCTGGATAGAACCTTCTTCCCCTTTTGGTCTGGATAGAACCAATAGGATTTAAACTCATAGGTCTGGATAGAACCTTCTCCCTCTTTTGGTCTGGAAAGAACCAATTGATCCTTATTCTGTAGTTCGTGCCCTAACTACGACCGCTCTGATTTTTCATTAGACAATAAAAATACGTAGGCACAAGATGTAATATCTTGACGACCAACCTTCCCCCTTCTTCCCCCTTTTGGTATGGATAGAACCAATTGGTCTTACAACGTAGAGTTAGGTAGAGTTTGGTTAACTCTATGCAAGAATCATGGAAATGATTACTTACTCCCCTTTCTTAAGCGTTCAATGTAGATCTAGAGAGTTCGGGTAAACTCTATACAAGCATTTTTATGTTTGTTCCCCTTTGAACCTTGATCATAATCAAGTGTTCTTTATCCCTAGTAAGGTGAACTACGATTGATATGATTCTATCCTAGTAAGGATATGTAGGCAGAGGACGCGATGTCTTTGCGAGCAAACTTAGAAACTATCTTTAGGTCTTAACCTACACCTTTTACCCAATCCCAATCCATAGAAAACATTTAGCAAACTTAGCATACAAACAAACAAAAGGTTCTTGTAGAGTACTACATATGTTTAAGATGCGAAATACCTACCCTAGGCATAACCAACCCCCGATCCCCGAATCTATTAGCATTGTCGTTACATCGCGCAAAAGGTTTTTTCTTTCTTTAGACCTTTCCTTTGGATAAATTAAAGTCCGGTTGTGAATTTAAGAATTAAGATTCAAGTTAACCAATAGCTTGGTATCACGATTCTCACCGCAACAACCTCTTTAGTTAACTATTTTGTGATATCTACCTCCACAAGAATATGAGCATACAACACTCTCAGTTTACTTGACGAACATTCATCAGTTACCAAAGGAACTCTAGTGGTGCTTCCAATCTTACTCATACTTTTTGCTCCCCGAAGGTGAAGAGGAAGTTGTGGAAGCTTCACCTACAAAGGGAGGGTTTACAACATGTCTCTCTTAAGGTTAGAATCCGGTCTCCACTCCTTCAATAGAAATGGCACATTCCTTATAGTATAGGGACCTCCCATCAATACCGCATCCATCCCAGAGTGAGAACTGAATCGAAGAATGAAATAACCCTTGTCGTGATAAAACATATATGGAAATGTAACAAAATTCCAAGTCTTCAACATGAAGTTTTTCACCGTATTCATACTAAAATCTTCACCTAATGCGTACAAGATTAACGCTATTTCCCAGAATTTGACTTCAAATTCAATATCATCTTCCTCAATCTCTATTTCCATTTCACCGTTAATCACATTTGGTGCAACGTATTGAATCGTTAAATCCTTCGACGGATTCTGATTCTCGCTCAAAACATCCACCCACAGTTTGCGATTACCATCTTCAACCTTGTTTTCTGACTTCGCTTGTTCAACCCTAACGGCAGTCGCTAGGGTTTCCTCTACCTCTTTTGCTTTTTCATCCACGTTCACTACCTCCACTTCTACAACTAGTGTCACAATAGTTTTGTTCTCCTCTGAGTCTTCTACAGTCCCAGCCAAGCTCTAAGCGTCTGACGGTAAGGGTACAGTTTCCGGCTCCAGTGGCACCAAATGTGGCCGCCCCCGACCCCTTCCCCTTCCACGTTACGCCATCATTCAGAGAGAAAATTTGGAGTTCGTTGGTTCCATTACAATGTAGATATAATTAAATATAAATAAATATAAGGCTTAATTGCAACTTTGGTATCCTATTTTGTGTTTTTTTAGGTCTTGATTACCTCATTTTAAAAATTACGATTTTGCTCCCTTTTTTAGGTTTCATGATTGATATTAGTCCCTTGCCATTTGAAGTCATGTTTTTAATGATGTGACGCGTTGAATGATGATGTGGCATTTTCATGTCATTTAAAACGGTCTTATTAATTTTAATATCATTTCCATGTCACTTAGGTTTGTTTTATTTTATTTTCAGAAAATTAATAAAACCTAAATGTAAAACTCATTTCACCTTCAACCCATTTCTTCAACCATACATAATTGTCATTTCCATTTCATTTTTCACGAAGAATAACCCATTTCTTCAAACTCAATCCTCCTTTCCTTTGGGTTGAAGATGGCAAGGGGTTTCAGACTTCATCACTATTTTCTCCAAGCTTGGATAACATATTGAATTACTGCAAAAAAGAAAAAAAAATCCAAGTTTCAATCAATTCACAAAAAAAAACGTTTCAACCTTTAATAAACTTTAAGCTTCAAAAACCAACAAAAACCTGTAGAAAATTCACAACAAACCTTCACTAAAAAAGCTTCGAAAATATTATCTCAAGCTTCAACCATCAATTTGTAAACACCAATACCAAACTTGTAATTTTCAACAACAACAAACTCGCACACAACGCATCGATTCTGTGACGCTCAACAACAACTCGTGTGTGAATTGCAAAGAAGAGGAAGCAAAAATTTAATCGAAGAAAGAATTAGAGTAATTGTCTTACCTGCTGAAATTATTGTAGATCTGAATTTTGGAATCCTTTCTTTCAATTTTGATTCGTTGTCTTCGGTTAAGTCGGAATAAAATAATATATGAGTTGGAAAGATGAGAGTGAGAGGACACTGTGATACGAACTCCTTCGTCGCTAGTGATCAAATCCGGTGCGACGGAGGCTTTTATTGTTGGGATGACAGAAGCTTTTAAAATAAATCCTTTTATTGCTATCCAAACCCAGTCCTTTCCATTTCTGTAGCCATTTTCACGAATTTTTCATTTGGGTTTTCAGACTGGGTTTGAAGAAATGGCTGAAGAAATGGGTGGTTCTTCGTGAAAAATGAAATGAAAATGGAAAAAATGAATGATTGAAGAAATGGGTTTTACATTTAGATTCTATTAATTTTCTGAAAATAAAAAAAACCTAAATGACATGGAAATGATATTAAAATTAATAAGACCATTTTAAATGACACAGAAATGCCACATCATTAAAAACATGACTTAAAATGGCAAGGGGACTAATATCAATCTTGAAACCTAAAAAAGGACCAAAATCGTGGTTTTTAAAATGAGGGGATCAAAACCCAAAAAAACACAAAATAGGGGGACCAAAGTTGCAATTAAGCCTAAATATAATTTCCATGTTGTTATTAATAAATAATCAAAATTTCATTTATATATATATATATATATATATATATATATATATATATATATATATATATATATATATATATATATATATATATATATATATATATATATATATATATATATATATATATATATATATATATATATATATATATATATATATATATATATATATATTTTGAATCAAGGAAGCAATATATTAATTCTAAAAAAGTCAATATAAAACTAGGTGATCTAGGGAGGATCCAACCAACCAAAAGGACTCAAATTACATCATAAAACTAACAAGATATTTTCTTATCCTAATGTTTTGCCACCCTCTATAGATCACATTATCTATGATTTTAGTATCCATGATTGTATTATCTACAATGTTTCCAAAAGTTATACTATTTCGATATCCCCAGATGTTATAGATGGTTTCAGCTACTAACGTCTTCAAAACATCAACTTTCCATCCTTTTCCCTTTGTTATATTAGTGATCCAAGCCAGCTCTGCATCCCATGGTTGAGGTTCATGATAGATGTTTAACCACTTGAACACTTCCTTCCATATGTCTCTTGTCTCTTGACAGCAGAAGAACAGATGATTCAACGTTTCTTCCTCGGAGTGACATAAATTGCATATGCTGCCCTCAATCATCCCAAATCATTCCAACCTATCTTTGGTTGCAAGCTTGCCATGGCAATCTTGCCATAAGCAAAACACTGCTCGCGACCATCCCTTGTTGGATCTTATCAATTTTCTCCAAAGCACCCTTGTGCCATCATCAATTAGTTTGGTTCTATTCATTCCGAATTACTTCCATGTTATATTTGTTTCAAAGTACAACGCATGATTCAAGAATTGTCCAAGAATTATGTGTTTATATAGTAATAAAGTTTTGGTTATCTCTTTGTTTTAAAATATATTATTTTTAATATTTATAAATATAAAAATTTATTATTATATAAAGAATATATTTTTTTAACTTAAAAAATAGCTTTGTTTTATATTTTAGTATGATCCAATATATGGATATACACGATGAAGTGCGAAATGACTCAGTGGAAAAGGGAAACCTGCCGGAGGAGGACGTAGAAAATTTATCTGATACCGGAGACCTAGGTCATCAAAGTACTGAAGAAAGAATGGAGGTGGAAACTAGCCAAATGAAGAAACTATGGGTTGATATCATCAATGAGAATCGTAACCCGGCGAAGGGTCTTGTCGCAACTGCGAAAAAACACCCGGCGGAAAACAGAAGAGTCGCCACCTTTCGTTATTTATCCCAACGAGAGGGAAAGGAAACAATCGGAAAACCTGACGAAAAGGGAAAGACAAGGTCATCGCAACCGTCCTGGATTCGGGAGTCGGTTACGCAAGGGGAAGGTATTAGCACCCCTCACGTCCGTCGTACTCGACAGGATCCATGCTTGTTATCTATCTCAGGGTGTGTTTAAACTATCTACGCTACAGGCTTGCAGGACAAAAAGAAAAGAAAAGATACTCGACAGAGCATCGCCGCTCTGTGCCTACGTATTCCCTCGTGCAATGGGAAAGTCAGAGTCAACGTAGTTCGACTAACTACGGAAGAAAGGGGGGAAGGGGGAAGGTTGCTCGCCAAGACATCGCGTCTTGTGCCTACGTACTTTCATCTGGTATGAAAGATCAGAGCAAACGTAGTTCGGGGGGACACGAAACCACGAGTCGATTACGTGTTTTAGCCGAGTAGGGTTAAACATTCGTTCCAGCAGTTAGGGACTAAGCCTGTTTGCGGTAAAACCGAAGCTTAACAACACTCTTTTCTGAAAATAGAAGGTTTCTGATTAATCCCGGAGGAAAAAAGGTTTGAAGTTTGTTTTGTGTTTTTTTAGTGAAGTGAATTAATTCGGTTTGTGATTCACGTTGCACTAAACACTATGACATGGAGGCGAATGCGTCGTATATCTCCCCCAAACGGGACGTATACTAAACACCCTAGATAAGCGAGAGGAGACCCCTCACTCATCATTCCCCATATAGCTTAAGGCTCGTAGCAGGCATCGTTTATCCCCTTTATTAGATGAGTTAACATGATTTTGAGATGAGAAGAGAGACGCACAGAAGGTCTAAGGGAAACTCGGCCCTAACGTTGTCATTCAATGTGATCCTAAAGTTTGGATGAAAAGGGGAAACATCTACCCTAATGTTAGCATACTTGGATTGAACGCCTAATGTCTCTCATACTCCCATCCTAAACGGAGGGACTAGGAATCCTATGGGGATCATGGCAAGAAAGCACAAGAAGAACAAAGGAAGGATCAATCACAAGTAGAAAAATGCAAACATGAAAATGCACATTTAGAATGGTGGGAGGGAGGAAAAATGTGTGGGGCAGCAGCCGCCACAAGCGCGTCTCGACCTCAACAACGATGCAAGAATGATGCAAACATGTGGAGAAAATCAAGAGATGAAAGCAAATGATCATGCAAACAAATGTTCAATTCGAACCACATACACAAGCATGCGAACAATTGGAGAATGAACATACATGTCAATAAAATCATGATTAATTAACCATAAACAGTGACAATTATCCAAAACAATTCAATCCTAATGTATCACACTGATCTATGATGATTCGAATCGAACCGGTATGCGAACATGCGAGCAAAACAGCAAATATGGCATTCTGGCACAGTGTTAATCGGTTAACACATGCTGTTAATCAGTTAACCTGTGTAAAACAAGTGAAAATCTGGAAATTCGTAGGTGTTAATCGGTTAACACCAGGCGTTAACCGGTTAACACCCTGAAAACTTTGAAAATTTTGAATATTTGAATTGGTTAACCGGTTAACCATATACGTTAACCGGTTAACACTGAACCAAAAGCCAAAAACAGCAGCAGAAAATCACTTCTAGCAACAGAACAGCTTATCCATGGTTCCAAAAGATCAACTTATCAATTAAGCACGAAATCAACAACAGAAAACAGAGATCCAACAGCATGGATACACAATTATGCAACAATATCACAAATCGAACGGATTGAAATCAACACAATTCAATCGAATATGAAGATTAACATGATAAGCTCAAACAATTAAATCAGATCGAGAATTCTAACCTTTGAAGCGGAGATTTGCTTCGGTAAATGTTGATCAACTGAATTTGAGTAGATCAAATGCTAGAAATCTGGAAAACTTCAAGATCCACAATAATTGTCGTTGTATGAATGAAGATCCACCAAATTTAAGTCAAAAAGCTTCAAATAATCACTTCTAGATCCAGCTCCAGATTCAGATCCAAGCTTGCACGAAAATTGAAGATGAGAATTGATCTAATGATGATCGTAGATGGAGGTTTATGCTCAAGAATCCATTGATTCCAAGGAAGAATCAAGAATTTCCAATGAAAAAGAGCTTTGAGTGAGTTTTGGAAATAGAGAAGTTGAGAGAATTTGAGAGAGAATTCTGATCAATTCTGAAAATGAATGTGAGAAATGAAAATTGGATGGTTTAGTTTGGAGTGGATCACTTAAATACTCTCTAGGTTTGGGATCCAAAGTTGGAATTTGGATTGGAAAACAAGGCTTGGAATGTGGAATGGGATTTCGGAGGGAAATCTGAAATTTAAAGGTGTTCCAGATCCTTCCCAAATGAGAATTTCAATTCCAAGGTGATCAAAATTGGACCCCAAGTGCATTTGGCTTGAAAAATCACATACAGGGCAAATTCTGCTATGGTTAACCGGTTAACCATATGCGTTAACCGGTTAACACTGTTGAAATTTCAAATCTGGGCTAATTCTCCAATGGTTAATCGGTTAACCATATGTGTTAACCGATTAACACCTTCAAAATTTTGAATTTGGCGCCTTTTGGAGGGAAATTTGTCCATTTGCCCTGTTTCAACTGTCTGGAGCTCTGTTTAGCTGCTGAACCTCATTTTTGACCGTTGTCACTATGAAAATGCTTGCCACGAGCCTAAGTGCAAATCTTGATATGAAATTAACCTACAAAACAGAATAAAATTGATCGCTCGATTGCTGGGCAAAATAAATGTCGAAGCTCTTGATGCTTGCTGTTCAATTGCTTGCACGGGAATGAAACCTGAGTCACGGGTGAAGGTGAGAAAAACACTTAGAAGGGGGGGTTGAATAAGAGTTTTAAGAAATATGGCAATAAAAATAACTCAAGATATTTATCCTGGTTCGTTGAACTCAACTACTCTAGTCCACCTTATCAAAGATGATTTGCCTTTCTCTGCAAGGACTTAATCCACTATTGATCAACTGATTACAATAGAAAACACTAAGAACAATTGTCTTAGTCTTCTCAAGGACTACTGACCACACCTTGGTCTTCTTAAGGAACTTCTTACAATTTAATGTAAACTAACAAGTGTTTGAATGCTTCTAATAAGCTGTATCACAACTGTGATGTTTACACTTAAGATTAAGTATAACAAAAACTATATGGTTTTATGAGAGATCAAATGAGTAAGATCTTGTGAGATTTTCTCTTTTATGAATCAAGCGTGTATTTCTTTCTGAGTGATCTAGCAATGAGCCAACGATGAGTAGTGAATTAGCAACCTCAAAATGTTGAAGTAGTTCTCCTTTTATAGCTTTTTCAAATGCTTTGAGTGATGTGCAGCTGAATATAATATTTGATTGTATGACTTTTCATCACCAAAACTATGGGCAGAGATATGCTTTATGCAGAAAGGTATGATTGTAGAAGCCTTGGGATTTGCACCACGTCACTTCTTTGGACAAATTAGCCGTTGGTTACTTTGGAATTAGCACCACATCTAATCAAGTTTACAGCTTCTTCAACAAGCTTCCTTCAAGATGAAGTCTTCATAATCTGTACTTCAGAACTTTTAGTAAGCTTAAAAGGTATGGAATGCTTTAAGATGATCAGAGCTTAACATGAATGATAGGTTTAGAGTCTTGATAGATGATCAGATATTTGATGTATCAGAGTCTCAATCTTGATTAGAGTCTTCATCAGAGTATGTAGCAGTATGTGCTTTGAGCGTGAATATTAATGATAAGAGTCTGGTTATCAAAGGCTTTGAGTTTGTAGTGAAAAGAACTTCAGATTCTGATAAGATCAAAGCTTTCAACTTTTGTATACTTATTTCATTAATACTTCAGATCATTCTATAGCTTCTGCTTCAGATCCTTCTGGCAGCGCTTCAGAATCTTCTGATAGTCTTGCATCTGATACTTCAGAGCTTTGCATAGCTTCTTTGTACTTATGTATTTTGCTTCTTTAAGAGTATTTAATTTTATACCTGAAACAATAATACTTTGAAAGAATTTTAGAGTGTATGTTTTCTTACTACAAAATTCCATAACAGTTATCATCAAAACATAGAGATATAAGAAACACCAATCTGTGTTCTAACAATCTCCCCCTTTTTGATGATGACAAAACATACGGAATTTTTTTCAATAAAAATAAATAAAATAAATAACTCCCCCTGAGATTAAGAATCTCCCCCTGAAATGAATACTAGAAGAGAACACTTCCCTTTTTGTTTGAGTATATTTCAGAACCTGGTAGAAATCCTTGTTGAGAGAAAGAATCAGAGCTTGGATGCTTTCCAGAATTAGAGTCTGATAATTTCTTTCAAAATGAAGAGTCTGGTGTATCTTCTAGAATCAGAG